AAAGTTTCCTCCTCTTCTGTTAATTTGGAGCATCTTGTCGCTGGGCAGCGCGAGTAAAGAGAGAAAGAGGTGGAGTAAAGTTAAAGACAGAAAGCGAAAAAGACAAACGGGCCTGAAAGAGGGTGGGGTTTGTACTGTAAATGTGATTTTATAGGAAGATTAGAATTAGAAATTGAAATAATGTGTTTAAAAATACATGTTTAAAAATATACATATATTTTAATATATGCATATATATATATATACATATATATATAGAAATACCGTATTCTCCGGACTATAAGTCACTCTGGCATATAGGCCACACCAGTAACACCTGTAACAGCTGTCAGTGCGAAAATAACAAATGTGAAAATTATATAAGTCGCACCTGAGTATAAGTAGCAAAGCTACCAAAGGATGAAAGAAAGTGCAACTTTTAGTTTGGAAAATACAGTACTCAATATATGTATATCGCTTATCAGGCCTATTGGACTTGACCATCTCTGTTACTGTTACTGTTACACTCCATATAGTGCAATTTCATTCATTAATAGTATCATTCTAGGGGACTGGGGCGATTTAATTGGTTTTTAGTTATACTTAATGGGGGAAAATGCAATCAAGATACGAGCGGCTTGACTCGAGTGTTGTTGTGGAACGGATTCAACTCTTGTGTTTATACGAGTATGGCTCGACTCAAGACGTACTCAAGATTGGTATCTGTCAAATATTGGTTAAAATTTCAGGATCGAACACTGAAAAAAAAAAAATAAAAAAAATAAAAAAACTATAGCCCGTCTGTACCTAAGGCCAAATGCTCAATCTAACTTTGCAGGGTCACTATCGCCTAAGCAAAGGGAGCCCAATATATATATATATATGTACATGTATACTGTATAAACAGTACCTGGGGCGTTGTATTACCGTAAGAAATATTTGCAGTGTTGTGATGACAAAACACAAATGGTACAAAATGGCAGTTTAGCAAATGAATGAGAATGATCACGTATAAAGAGAAAAAAAAGTTGGAGACTGACTAGCGTTACAGTCTACAAATACAGTCCGCACGTACAAAGGTAATAATTCAAATTTTAAGGATGGATTTAAAGATGAGATACTGATGATTTTAGATTTTTTTTTTTAGTCTTGTGTGTTAGGTCTTAATTAATTTTTTTTAATACTATACTCCAAAAACATATTAAAAATTCTTTAACTTAATTATTAGCATGAACCGATTTTTTTTTAAAATACTATTCTCCAAAAACATATTAAAAATTCTTTAAAAACATTTTTTGTTTTTTATTTTTAATTAATTAATTTATTTTTATCATTATTTGATTCTTTTTTTCCCCCACAGTTTAGGTGCATAATTTAGGTGGAATTCATTCAAATAACTTAATAAAAATCAATGTTTTCCGGTGACAATTTTTATCTGAAATCTAAACTAAACTTTTTTTAATTAGGTAATAAACTTGCTTTAAATTTTTCATTTCAACTATTTCCAAAAAAATAAAAGATATAGTTTCTCCTAATTGAACTCATATACAAAGAAGTAAAACAAACAACAAAGGGAAGTCAAAATACAACACTTTTCAATTCAAAAATCTTAAACAACTCTTTGAAAAAAAAAATGCACACGTTGAGGTAAAAACACAAGACGTGTACAAAAAGAGAGAGAGAGAGAGAAAAAAAGGAATATAATACACATGTATAAAGAGGAACGGAAGGTCAAGAGAGGGAAAAGGAGGATGAAGGAAGAGAGGAGAGGTACAGGGAGACTGAGCCCAGCCAAAAAATGGACATTTTTAAGAAAACGTCTAAAAGAGTGGTTGGGATTGGACAATTGACTGTTTGACCTTGATGAGCCATGCTTTTTTTTTTTTTTTACCTGGGTGCTTTGAAGGTCAAATGGCCAACGGTTGAAACATGAATAAAAACATCTTACACAGGTTTCTAAGAAACAAAATCACAACTAAAGCAAACGAGAATGGGTTTAGTACGACGCGACAATCCCTCTTTTAAACAAGGGGAACTGGGACATCACTGTAAATTTAATTATTTCGCTTTATGTCACGACCGGATTTCTATCTGTCGGAGCTCACTCTTTGGTCTTTGGCGTGAGAGGCTATCAAACCTGAGTACTGCTCAGCAAAAAAAAAAAAGATTACGTGCATTGTTCAACTCAATATTTCATGTCTTAAGTTGATCTGGGGAACAATAAGTTAATTCATTTTTTTTTTTTTTTTAGCTAGGCCAGGCGTGGGCAAACTTTTTTGAGTCGCAGGACACATGTGAAATAATGTAAATGACATGAAAAAGTCATGCATAAAGGCTAAAATGCTTGTATCGTTTTCTATGCCATCTATTGGAGAAATGTGGGAATTGCAGGGAAAAGGCAAAAGTATAATGACAATAAACTGTAAATAAACTATATAATCTTAGTTTGCCCATGCCTGAGCTAGGTTAAATGTGACATTTTTTCAGGTCTCTCACGTATGCACAGTCGAAACGAGATCACCTAATATGCTTAAAAGAGGGATTTTTTTAAAATAGCATTTCAATTGCGATATACACACAAAAAGAAAAACAAAAAAACAACAACAACAACATAGCGACTAAGGTATTGTCAGGAACCTTTAAGTGACGGTCGTGAACAGCTAGTAGCTACTTGCTTACCTTGCATGTGGCCACTATTCATAAAATCTCTGCAACAGCAGTTGGAATGGGTTTGTGTGTGTGTGTGTGAATATAGAACAGATCCTGACCTTTGAACTTCACCAAGCACAATAAAAAGGTGGAAGGAATAGTATTATCGAACCATCACATGCTTATACCAAATGAGTATTTAGCAACTGAAACCACTGATATGTTACTGCAGTTGTTCCGTGTCGAACCTTGGACATGGAGTGAGAACTTTTAAAAGTGGTTCCGGCGTGGCATGTCTGAGGCGGTACTATTCCTTGACCTTGACGGCTCTCTTGACCCCAGTGACCTTGGGCCTGGGAAATAAAACTCTTACACACTGCAATCCATTGAACAGGTATGTGGAACCGTACACAAGAAAGATTAGGCTAGGTGTGGGCAAATTTTTTTTTTTTCAAATTTTTCTTGATATATAAATAAATTATATAACTTGGAAAAAATTGGCGGGACCGGATTAAAAAAACTGAACGGGCCTTACTTTGCCCATGCCTGGGCTAGGCTAAAAGGTATGAACTTGTGGTAATGTTCCTAACTTATTATACAGCAGTTCCTTAAATTACTACTGCGGCACCCCCTGGTGGTTGGACAAGCCACAAATAAACAACATTATTATTATTAACTCGATGAACTTTTCAAGTGCCAATGCGCCTACCCTGTCGTACTGAAATCGAGACAGTTTGTCGAGGTTTTGTTCGAGTCTGGATTGCAGTGTTTTTTGGGTCTAACCGTGGTGCCAAGTTCACAGTGGGGGGGAGAGAGAGCTTTGAATCTTTAAAAAGGGGGGAAGAAAACAAAATGAAGCCAGACAAACAGTAACACAAACACGACACTCAGACGGCATTGGAAGGACAGGGACACCATGTATAATGTGTAAGAATGAAAAAAAGCCCACATACACACGCGTGATATGACACAACCTGAAGAGAGAGACAACAACACAGAGGCACATCAGACAACAGCACGAGCAAAACCGATTCTGTTCATTCTTCTTTGGCAAACGTTTTATTAACAAAAGACAGTTTTCCACCTGTTAAGCGTAAGTGTTAGCGCACACAAAACAACATAATTTTTTAAAAGTCTGCATTAAAATACAATTCCTTCATATAGACACAATTACAAAAAAAAAAAAAAAAAAACACAAAAAATTTTTTTTTTTTACATTTTTTCTTTTTTTCTATTTATTGCACAGTTTTATTTTGGACCTAAAAGATCTAAAGTGTTTCTCAGGTCAAATGTTACCATCCAGTCTATCACACCCACTTAAATAAAATAAATAAATAAAAAAAAAATCCCAATACAAAATATATTATCAAACCTAGAAAATGTAAAGTGAACGATGTGTGTGTGTTCCACCATGGAACCATAAATAATAATACTTACAAAATAGGTATGGCTCGATCCGATACTCACGATTGGAATTAGTTTGCTATAGTTCAGTAAAATATCAGGATTGAACATCGCAAAAAAAAAAAAAAAAATCTGACACCTAAACACAACTGCTTGACTTAAATTTGCACGACACGCCGCGAACCAGGACGCTCGGACGGTATCGGACTGACATCGGTGTCGGCAGATTTCTTGAGAGTAAGACTCTCAAGAAACTGAAAGCTCCTACTTTTCTGAGTTTAACAGAACGTCCTACATTTTCAATTGCACATTTTGACTTACAAACCTTCTGCAGCGAAACCTAATCATTAAAGGTATTATATATATTTTATTTTCCTGACTCACCAAAAAAAAAAAAATGGCTGGACTACATTTTTTTAATTTTTTAAAAATAAAATTAAAACATATTTCATCATTAGACAAGAACTTAATTGCATATTTCTTTGAAGACGCAGGACCTATTTGAGATTTGCTCATGAAACTTTCACTGCAGTGGAAGACTATTGGTTATTGTGTCCAAGAATCATTTAGATCCTTGAAAATTCTCCCTGGTTCTAGAGGTTCCTGTTACCACGTTTTGGTTTTTTTTTTTTCTTTTTTTTTTTTTTTTTTACATCATCGCAGGCACAGCAGAACTGAGAGACAGTGGACAATTCAAACTGCGAAAAAAAAAAAAAAAAACGTGGACACAGTTCTTCACAAATTCACAGTGTGCATTTCCGTGGAAAACCCTGCTTTGAGTCAGGTGCTAAGTCTGGGAATGTTATGGTTGTGTGTGTGTAGTGTAGTGTGTGTGTAGTGTAGTGTAAATTATGCAACTGCAAAGCATTCCGTATCATGGAGTCCTAGACGGTTATGGTTTGTTGATAATATACAGGCTACGGGGGTTATTTCTTTTGGTATTTATGATAACTTCTATTAGTGTTTACCTCTGTTCTATGGTTTGATCCAGGAGGAGGTGGAGTTTGCATTGAGGTCCTGCTGTAGCAGAGACCCTTCCATCTTATACCAGTCCTCAGTCAGAGGGGAGTCTGGGCTGGGTGCCAGGGCTGCTGCCTCTACTACGTCAGCGGGAGGGGGTGGGGGGGGGGGGGGGGGTTGTTGGAGATTTTTATAAGGGAGTGTAAGGAAGTGTTTCGGTGCAGGTTGGGCGGATGTGACAGTGGTGGTGGTGGTGGTGGTTGCATTGCGGTAGTAAATGGATCAAGGTTTCAAGGTTTTTGATGAAAGCAACAATATCACACGCAGGGATTAAACGAACGGAGAGGGGGGGGGGTTTACGAGGTGTGATTAAAAAACAGAATGGGAATTTGTTATAGAGATGAGGGGACGAGAAGGGAAGGGAGTCAGTTCAGGATCGGTACGTGAGGGAGGAGGTAAGGGCGTCAGTGCGTACGGGGGGGAGAGCAGGGCAGCAAGTCAAAGAGAGGAAAAATGCAGGGCGAGGTGGGAGGCGCAGAAAAAGAGAGAGAGAGAGAGAGAGGGGGAGGGGGGGAGGAGGAGAAACAGAAATGTTGAGACGTAAAATTAACGCATGGTCAATCGTCGGAGTCAAATAAAACAGAGAACGACGGATTTTTCCATAGGGCGTGGGTGGATAAATGAAAGTGACACTATAAGATACACAGTTTAAGTGATAGACAGAAGAGAGAAAGAAAGAAAATAAGTAGAGATGACCGAGGCTGTAAGAATATAGAAAGAAGAGAATACGATTTTTTTTTTTTTTTTTCTTTTTCCGACAGAGAAAATAAAGCATGACACAAAGCAGCGGTGGGAACAACACAACATCAATGTGGCGAGGAAACAAATAGAGCACAGCAGTAGAGTTAAGTGTATGAATGTATGGTTTTGTGTGTGTCTCTCTGTCTGTATGTGTCTCTCTCTCTCTCTCACTCTCTCTCTCTTTCTTTGTGCACATGTAGACGTGAAGTGAGATACTGGGGGCGAGGGGTGAGATGCGACTGGTTTCTTCATCGTATCTTTAGTTCGTTAGTCACTTCATCGACTTACATCTACTTACAACCCTTATTTTCTGTGTTTAAGTTTTTGGGGGATTGCTAGTCCGTGCAGTTGCATCCGTATGTAAAATGTCTACTAATATTACACGCTAATAACGAGAGTAAAAACACACAGGATACGTCGGCGTTATCTTTTACGTGGCATTTTGGTCTGCTGACGTGAGGCGTACCTTTCCGAACGTTCCCATCCGTGGCGCGGAACTCTCGGGTGTTGAGCAGAAAGCAGGCGCGGTCCTGCTGATACCGTTCCCGGGTTGACCCGCGTCCGATCGGGCTCCTCTCGTCTGGGCTCAGCACCTGGTCTATTGTGGGGCAGTCCTCATTAGCCAGGGCGGCCGAGGCTGCGTCACCGTTCTGCTTCGAATCTAGAAGCACGGCACAGATAGGTCGAGGTCAGTACAACATTTGACTCCATTTAGAGTCACATACAAGACTGGCTTTTCCCACTTGTAAATAAGTGGTAGCAGCCAGGTAGACAGAGAGACACTTTTTCCCCCTGCCTAAAACTCGATTCACTATATGGCTGCGTGTGTATGTATAAATACCGTAATTTCTGGAACTATAAGACATAAGACACTTGTGGCTAATTTATGGATTCTTACAGGCTAACAAAGTTCATACCGCTAGCGATCAATGACTTTTCTGGTTGGCTACTGTGTGTTACACTAGTAGCGTATGTCTGTCTGTGATAGTGATGTTCGATACCACCAATTTCCCTTCCCGATCCGATACCGAGTAAAATTCGGGCTGGTATCGCCGATACCGATACCGATATTTTATCATTTGTCTTTAAGACTAGCTGCCTCATTTACTATACAGTCAACACAACAATAGAAAAACCTGAGAACACAATCACATAAAATATGTCAAAACAACTCTGAAAATTTGTAAAACAAAAATAAAAATAAATAAAATAAAAAATCTGAGGAGCCATTTGGGACCCAAAAGAGTCGCATTTTTTTCAGTGAACCGAGCCAAAAGAACCGGTTCTCTAAAAAAAAGAGCCAATGCGTAAGTATCAAAAGTATCGATATTTTGATTTCAGAATCGATTTCAGAGCATAAAGATCCAGAGATCGGAAGTATCGATATTTCCGGATCGATCCGCACGTCACTAGTCTGTGAACGGCTGTGTGCGTGTGTGTGCGTGGGCTGCGTGAGAGAGAGAACAATATTGAAAAGTTGAGAGCAGTTTGAGCCCCTGTCATGTTGAAAAGCGTGAGTTGGTTGTACGGGCGCTGTTAAAACACTGTTTATGCTCTGTTGTGTGGCCTATATCCAGGTGCGTTTAATTGTCCGGAAATTACGGTATTTTCTTCATGACCATTAAATGATCAGTTAATCCCTTGTATAAAAATCCGCTGCTTTTATACAAGGGAAACAAACCAACAGAACAGAAACAAATAAAACGAAGATTCCGATCAAAGACGAATCTCTTACCTCGCTGTTAAAACACTGTTTATGCTCTGTTGTGTGGCCTATATCCAGGTGCACTCAATTGTCCGGAAATTACGGTATTTTCTTCATGACCATCAAATGATCAGTTAATCCCTTGTATAAAATCCGCTGCTTTTATACAAGGGAAACAAACCAACAGAACAGAAACAAATAAAACGAAGATTCCGATCAAAGACGAATCTCTTACCTCTGTTAATCTCTATAATTTCTTCTTGGGCCAGAGGGCAGTCACCTGTTAAGCCTCCTGAACCCATCACTCCACCGAGAACATTTCCTAAGAGCCGTTGTGGCGAAGCCGTGGCCATCGCGAGGGCATCTGGTTTGCAGTAGTTGGGCGATCCTGGCTGAGGCGCTCGGGGGATATGTTTGTTCTTCTTTTTGGGCAGCTTTTGTTTAGCCATGGCCAGGGAGTAGTACATGCCAAAGTTGTTGACAATAACAGGTACAGGCATAGCTATGGTCAGTACACCAGCCAAGGCACAGAGTGCACCCACCAGCATCCCTGACCACGTCTCTGGATACATATCTCCATAGCCCAGTGTTGTCATGGTGACAACTGCCCACCAAAATCCAATGGGTATGTTCTTAAAGTTTGTGTGGGCACTGGCTGTCGGGTCATCCGGGTCCGCTCCGATTCGCTCGGCGTAATAGATCATCGTGGCAAAAATGAGGACACCCAGGGCTAGGAAGATGATGAGCAGGAGAAATTCATTAGTGCTGGCGCGAAGTGTGTGGCCAAGGACTCGTAAACCCACAAAGTGACGCGTGAGCTTGAAAATTCGGAGGATGCGGACGAATCGGACGACACGAAGGAACCCCAGGACATCCTTGGCAGCTTTTGAGGACAGGCCACTGAGACCCACCTCAAGATAGAAGGGCAAAATGGCGACAAAGTCAATAATGTTAAGGGTGCTTTTAAAAAACTCTAACTTATCCGGACAAAACGTGACTCGTAGCAGGACTTCAATGGTGAACCAGATGACGCACACTCCCTCCACGTACGTTAGCCAGCTGTCGGTCACCACCTCGAAGACGATCTCCTCACGGGTCGTGTTGCCCACTGTGACGTTCTCGGTCTTGTTGAGGATGGTGTTGAAGGCCTCGTGCGTCTCCATGCAGAACGTCGAGATGGAAATGAGGATGAAGAACAGTGAGCCGAACGCCACGTACTAGAAAGAAGAAGAATCCAGCAAGAGAAAAACAAGAAGAGACATCGGGGGAAAAAAAAAAAGGTTTAGCACAATGATAATAACAACAAAATATAAACGTTAGCAATTTCACACTTACAGAAGAGGACAATTTTTTCAATATAATCAACCAAAATTTTCTTGGTAAACTACAACTACAACTTTGTGGAAATGAAAATGCACATCAGTTATCAGTAAAGGATTACTGGTATAATCAATCAAGTTCACGGCCCTTTTTTGGCTCTTCTTCATTTGGGACCATGACACCAATTGGAGGATTCCTTCTCCCCGTAGTCACAGCACCAAAATCGAAGAAATCGCCTCGTAGGTAGGTATTCCCAGGCAAGGAATGAAAACAGCCGGTAGATGGTCAATTCGTTTAATAACAAAACGCCAAAACAGGTCCAATGGTAGAGCAAAAATAAAACGACTGGAACAAAACTTCTTACAACAGTTGTCGGTACGCAAATCCGAGAATCTCAAGAATAACTTCTATTGCATCATCGGTTGTTTGCATTTCTATACCTGTCTGGGGGGGGGGGGCAATCATATTACCATGGTTGTGCACTATGTGGCGCTGCTGCTCGATGATTCAGCGGGGTTAGAGACCTTTTTGTCACTGAGTGTGGTGTTATCACCTTTGTAATGTACTGTATATCCGTCTTAGCAGTTTCCTGCTTTTTAGACTTAACCCAAATGTGAAAAAACCACTGAAATCTAACATCAGGTTCAAAAGATGTTTTAAAACACAATATGACAATGAGAGAATGCGAATATGAATCCCTCCGCTCCAGTCCTGCCTTTTGTTAATACAACATATTTATACATAGTATATTGCAGCAAATAGTGGCCTTCAGGTTTGTAAAAATCAGAATATAGGCCACGGCTCTATTTATGTGAAATACATATTGGTGAATACGATATGGTTGCATTTTGACACAACGCGTCCATAATATCATCTCATAATATTATCATTCCATCTAGCTTTTATATCGATGTGCAGATACTTTACCACTTCTGGAATGTTACATTTAGTTTGTTACAAATGACATTTTATTTTCCTTATGTTTGCAGTCTGAGTTTGGACTTGAACCAAACTCAGACTGCAGGTTAGGGGTTAGGGTTGGTGTTAGGGTCTTGCCGTAAACAGAAGCACTAACTGCTGTACCTCCAGGAAACCTAAATACAATAACAATGACTGAATCTGTGGTGCTGTTGAACCAATCAAGACACTATCAGTTAGGATCGTTGGCTTAAAGCATGACGTCGAGGTGTTAAAAAAGTCATCAGTGCTTATGAAATTCGAGTTGGATGTTAGTCAGAAGAGCCAGAGGATTTCTGAAGCAAGCCAGACACATTTGTAGAAATAGTCTCCAGAGGGGAGAGAGTGGAGGAGCTGAGAGAAATAATGTAAAAGCCTGTAATTCAGAAGTAAAACAGTCGTGGGTTTTTGCGAGAATAAACTGGCAACATTTTCGGTGTCTTCTCAAGTCTGAGAGAAAAAAAAAAAAATTTGTATAAAGGTGATGATGAAATGAGTATAAACCAGTGTATTTCAAGGTTGCGTAGTTTGGTATGTTAAAAAAAAAAAAAAAAATTCTCTCTATTTAAAAGGTCAGTAGACGGAGGCGAGACGGTACAGAAGGTACAGAGCAACATACGGTATGAATGTTAAAAAGAAGTACTTAGCTCGTCTCAGTCCAAAGTCTACTGTAAGCCGCTACTTTTTTCCACACGCTGATAATTTATGGATTTTTACAGCCTAACAAAGTTCGCACTGCTAGCGATCAATAGCGACTTTTCTGGTAGGCTACTGTGTAACATAGATCTGTCTGTGAACACAAAGAGAGAACGAAGCTCAGTGTGGCTGATAATAAAGACCCCCAACTTCCCTGTTTCTGTTTACCTCAGCTGCGGACAAGCGAAAAGTCCCGGAGCTAATGTTAGCTTCAGCCCTGGGGCAGATCACTAAGTCTCCCCTATGCATTCCTACCGCAGTCAGTCAGCGCCGAAGCAGGAAAGAGCTAACGTGTAACCAGTGGTGTTACAGGCACTGTTTGGAACAAAAAAAGAAGCATTTATTTAATTAAAAAGTAAAAAAAAAAAAAAAAATTCTGAGTAACATGTTGCAACCTGGACACCTGCGTCTCATGGAAAAGTACATGCCTATATATGTACAAGTATTTTTCTTTTTCTTTTTAAATTTAGTGGTTGGGGCCTATGTTCAGGTGTGCTCAATCGTCCGGAAATTTCAGTATACAGTGATCCCTTGCTATAACGCGGTTTACTTTTCACGGTTTCGCTACTTCACGGATTTGCATCGTGCATTGTGTTCTGCATTCTGATAAAAAAGTGACTAAAAAGTCACTCCGCTTCTTCTCTACCTGTGCGCCAATAACGTTGCGGTTTAATATGTACACGTACGTAAAACAGCTTGCCAAATTGACATTACGTACGTGCAAATTCGAGTTTATCAAACCCCATAATGTCGACAAAACGCTCTGGACCGGCAAAAGTACCTGCGGTAGGGACCAAAAGGCAGCGGAAGATGCTGTCTATCGATGATAAAGTAAAACTATTGGACATGCTAAATGAAGGTAAAAGCTATGCGGCTGTAGGTCGGCATTATGGAATTAATGAATCTTCCGTTCGTTCCATAAAGAAGGAAGAAAAAAACATAAGGAAGACAGCAGCAATAAGTTTTAATAAGGATTCAAAAAGGGTTGCAACTGCCCGCAACAAGACCAGGTAATTTGTATTTTTTTCATAATCATTTTTAATTTTCTCCCGTTCACGGTGGGCGGTGCTAATCTCCGCAATTTGAAGCCTTCTGTTCACGTTGATGATTAAAATTATTATTTGACAGTACATTACAGAAGTTATTTGTTGAAACGTTTCTAAAGTACTTTTATTTTACTTTATTTGTGAAACAAATGGTTGAGACTGTAAAATGGTTTGTTCGTTCTTTCTCTTCTTTTTCTGAGTATTTAATTGTAAAAAAAATAAAGATTTCTACTTCACGGATTTTGCCTATCACGGGTTCTTTTTGGAACGTAACCCCCGCGAAAAACAAGGGTTTACTGTATAAGGTTTTATTGCCTTTTTGGTTTTAAATGCTTCGTATTCGAATTTGATTAATTGTTTTTGTATGCAGATTTTTCCATTATTAGGTTTTGTTACCTTTTTGGTTTAAATGGGTTAGGATTATTTTTCCATCATTATAGGTTTTGTTGCCTTTTTGGTTTTCCTCTCTAATTGGATTGAATTTAATTTTAGATAATCTTCCAGTGAACTGATCCAGTTTCGAGGTAAGTATAATTATTTTTCTTCATTCCACCACATTGGTCCAGCCGGGTTGTAAGTAGGTCTTTTGGTTCTGTGTTCGTCTATGTCAATTAAGCTCGAACAGCCCTTTTCTTATATAATAAAATGAATTTTAAATGAAAATACTTTAAAATAGAACTAAGGCGAGCTTAATAAAGTACATAAAAGAAAAATTATAAAATTAAAATGAAAAATACAAAGGCGGGGGTTGAACGGTGGTTCACCTTACTTTGTTGCATCCGTCTTGGATTGAAAACTGAATTCCATCCTAACACATACACTATATGACCAAAAGTATTGGCTCACCTGCCTTGACTCGTACTATGAACTGAAGTGCCATCCCATTCCTAACCCAGAGTTCAATATGATGTCGGTCCACCTTTTGCAGCTATTACAGCTTCAACTCTTCT